TTAAAATTGTTGTTTTCACAATATCTTATACTTTTGCACGTTTACAGAAACAAAATATATACCTACATGTTTTTCAGTTTTATAATTTTGCATACTAATATATAATTTTACTTTTAATGTAATTTTAAGCACTTGTACTTACTTATACAAAACAAGTCCAAAAACTATTATGCCATTATCAGGGAAATTTGGAATTGCAACATGAGTCACTTTCGAAATATTGTTCGAACGTTGTTTCCATGTATCTTTGAACAACAACGTGATTTCTTCAGCTACATTCTTTGCAAATTCCATGTGAAATAAAGATTCGTATCTGCACCACATTTCAATGTTTTGAGTATAATTATCAACACGTAATAAGTAATTGGATACAATTATTGTTGCAAGATACGGCGACATTGCAGGTGTGGTATCGAAGCGTTTCAATAATATATTGTGCTTGTTTTTTTCTGTATTTTGCAATGGCATATTTGACAAAGCCGTGCATTGATTACATCCTATAGATATGTTAAAAGTTGCTTCTAACAATAAATTTTGTTGACTCCAACATGAAGACAATTGTCGAGCGCCTATTATATGGAAATGAGTAGCAGCTACCAAACTATACATTTTAAAAAACATATATGAATGAAACATTTTTAACAAGCATCAAAATGTTGGAATTTAAAAATGTTTAAATGTAATATGTAATAATATGCATTATAAGTATAAAATTAGTAGTCTTTATATTTAAATTGCATGATATATAATAATTTTTGAAACATTTAATACAAAAATAATATATATTAATTACGAGATTTTATGTAATTGCACATTGCACATTGATTTTAATAAACATATATTATTTGCTTACGCAATTTTTTTTTTCACATCGAAAATTCTAAAGACTTCATCAGTAAAACCAAAATATGTAATATATAAAGTGTAATTTCCTGGTAATAACTTATCCTTAAAATAAAGGTCAATTATGTCTTCTTGAATATCATATGTCGGTTTATAAACTGTATACTTAATATTCTCATGATGTTTTTCTAGATTTTAATTAAAATTATATTTTCAAAATATAATTTTTCTGAATGTATGTTGTTGATTAATATATGTTGCGTTTTGTTAAAAATGTTGATGCTGATATTGTATTCTCCATAGAAAATGTTTTCTTCTATACATGATATAAACATGATATCGTAATGATTTGGTTTTATATATTTTGATGGTTGATAGCATAAAGACGATTGATTAGGAGTAGAAGCCGTCCCAACGATATACATTATTCCGCTAATTAATAGTAGAAATATCATCGTGTCGAAAAATTTATTTTAAGTCTGTAAAACACACTGTAAGCAAAGGACAAATAGAGAAATTAAATATAGTATTGATGTCTTTTATAAATTACTAGACGACACAATAGCGCGCTTGGCGCACGCTTTTGATATTATTATTCATTTTACAATTGTCAAATTGTTAATTTTTGCGATGACAGTTGCTTGATGCTATAAAAATAATGATAATTTTAATTAGCCGAATTTCTATTTTGATATCTATTTTGTATATATACTGATAGTAGAATACTAATACGTTTGAGAAGTACAACTTAATAATAAGTAAAAATTAACTTTTGATCATTTTTAATTTTAATATATTTGACAGGATAATTAATTTTTACGACCATTACTGACTAATGAATATTTAATAATCACCACCCAACGTTTCGACCATGGGTTTTGGTCCTTCTCAAGTGTACTTAAAATTAAAAACTGTGAACATATTATTCGAATGAAACTTCTTGTCGAACCGTGATAAAATAATAGCCAAGGACTATACAACCTTAAATATATTGACATCACAAGTAAGTATTAAATACACACAGATATTTTTATAAATAATAAAAATACGAGAAATTTTTAAAATAGAATTTTAATAATCTAGTAATAAAAGAACATTAAAAGTATTTATTATAATATTCATTATCTGTTAATTACAGTATTTTTTAGTTTCAAAAATTATTTATTCGACAACAAACTATTGTGAGTTCAAGATTATTTTAACTGTGGCGATAAAATTCATTTTATATTTCAATTTTATTTGATATATTAAATCGAATTGAGAACGAAAGTCAGCGATCGAATATATGTATATATATGACAACGAGCGAAAGAATCATAATAAACAAGTAAAGACAAAGTATCAAAACAAGCAAAATATAACAACGGACAGCCTAACCGATATAGGCAAAAGAATTGATAACATGTCACTCATTGTCAGCGAACTCGCTGAAGAAAGGACAAATAGAATTATTTTAAATTATATATATCTCTGGATTGAAATTTACAAATAATTTTGAATAAAACTATTCTCTTTATTCCTATACATATGTTGGAAATTCTATAAAATTCCGTCCTACCAAATGATTAAATTTTCTTGCATTTATAGACACATGTTTTATATGTATAAAAGTTCTTCTGACTTACCGAATATTTCGAAACAGAATGTTAATTGGAAAACTATATTGATTAAAACTATATATTGTTTTAAAAATAAACTGCAGCAAATTAATGCTTTAGAAGTATGCAATGTTGGAAGAATATAATATATTCACACACTTTATTAAAAGTATATTATATCTACGGCGACGTGGTTCGAAAGACCACGAAAGACTGACTGATTCTCTGGACGTGTCTTCATGCTAAATATGATGTGTTAAATCAAAACTTCTGAGGTCGTTATATATATATATATATATATATATATATATATATATTTGGGTGTATGGCGGCATTTGTGTGTAACGGTTGATTTAATTTAGCACATTTAACTTTTGTCCACTTAATCAAATAATTAGGCATTGTTATACACATTTATATGACTTATTTCAACAAACATTTTTGCTAAAAATATTGTGTAATTTCTCGTCATATACTCATCCTTCGATAATTTTATTTTAATAATTCAATTAGTATAAATATGTCATTATTTAATATAAATGTATGCAGTTGCACATTGCTATAAATTGCAATTTTTTTAAATCACTGGAATGTTTTTTTTATACCAATCAATTTATCCACATTGTTTTGTGCAAAAAATTATTTTGATAAAATAATATTGGAAGATAAATACATTATATGATGTTTCATATTTATGTCAGAAAAGAACATAAAACGTTTAAAAAATAAAGATAATTATCAAATCTCAACAATGTTCCATCTGAAATAAGACCATATATTTACGACGCGACGCGCTTTTTCTAAATTTTATAAATAATGTATAAAGTATATTTTTCGGAAGAGAAATTTTGGTTATGAAATTACAACAATACCTAATTTAAAATGGGACACTTTATATTGTTTTGTTAGAAACATACATTTAATTATACATGTCCTTATGTACAATACTGTGTCTTTATACTGTACCTACTCCTGTATGTATAAGTATATATTATAATATAGTAAATATTATAATCGCGCGCGCGATTCCTTATTAATCGCGATATGTGCTATGTTTTTCTCTTTTTATATCAATTTTTTCTAATTTTAAAATTTTAATACTTTGATTGTTTGTTACATCGTACTCTATGCGCCAAACTATAAAGATTTATAACTGATAAAATTAGTATTTTTATATAACATTTTTGTAAAAAGTTAATACAAAATGTTTTTCAAAATTTGTTTTACTTATTTTTCAAATTATTTATATACTAAATAAATAAACTGTGAGAATAAAGCCAGAATAGAATACAATTTTGAATATAAATTGTGACTTTCCGATCTCAATACTCTTTTATAATAATAATCATTTATTTGAAACTAATAATATCGATTAAATGTGAAAAACATTTATTGTTTGATGTAAGAAAATTCTTTTCAAAACAGATAAATATTTATTTGTATCATATAAATAATTTATATAGCAGTATAAAAATAAAAATATTTTTTAATTTAATAATATTTCCAATGCAGTGATACTCTTTTATACTTGTCAATTTTATATTTTTGGCAATATGTAAAACATTAAATTGATTTTAATTGTATAGGTAAAAATTAAATTAAATTATTATTAATTTTTATTTAAATCTCTGAAGAAATTAATAATTGATTCTTCTTTTTTACAGTATTATATGTTAAATGTCACAATTACTCAAATATCAATGAAAGTATTAAATCAATCATAAATATCTTTTAAAAATGCGTACTACAAATTTACACACACAGACATGTGTTTAGTCTGATATTTATTTTCTTTTATGTGTAAATTATAATATTTTTCAATTTTAAAGGCATTTTATTCGATAAATTTTTATGGGTCAAAAGTTATTTGAATATTACGAATCTTGAATTAAGTATACGTAAATATGTGCGTATATTACATAGCAGCTCCGTTTTCATATTCTAATCGATGAACTACAGAAAGATTTTAAAATATTTTAATTGTTTTTTGATCTTTTTTGTATTTTTTGTTCATGTTACAAAATTGTTGTACAAATTTTACTTTGCTAAAAGAGATTCGACATTTATCATTAAGAATAGTAAGAAACGAAATAATGGAAAGCTAAATAAAATAATAAAATAATTTTATAATATTAAAATTTCTACAATTTCCGTTTCTACAATTTTAAAGTTATGCTATATAATTTTAAAAATATTAATATTAATATTAATAACTTTTTAAAATTAAAATGTGGATTTACATTACGAAAGAGGAGAGAGAGAGAGAGAGAGAGAGAATTGTCATGTTATTTATTGTAAACTAAGAAAATGCTAATCCATCACAAATTCTACATAATTAATAATATTAAATGTACAAATTAATTAATTACAGTAATTATATATAGTTCAACTACTTCAAACAAGATCGCAAAAAAAAAATAAAATCTTGATTCATGCAGTCATAGTTTTATAAATGTAAATATAAAGGCATCGGATAGTAATACATCTAAATAAACAATATTTAAAGCAGTAGAAGTAATAATACGTACAATATAAAAAATTATTCATATGATGATGTTCACGTATGCAAAGCTGCAATTTCTTTTTTACACTCACAGATTAGAACAAAAGACTTTCAAAATACTGCTTCTGTCTTTGGATTTGTTTGTTGCGAAAATAAATCCGGATCATAATTCGGGCGTATATGTAATTTATCGCACTGTCTCTCATCTAAAACAAATATCGTTTCATTAATTATAATATAATTAAATAAATAATAATCTTATTCCGCATTATAAAGATCTTAATATATATAAACAAAGATTTGCATAATAAAATTAACATACTGTTTAATAAAACAAATATAAAAATTATATAAAAAACTATTAATCTCGGCTCGAATTATTGTGTTACAATAAAAATAAAATCTCGACGGCAATCGGAGCCTATGCGATGACATGCACAAAATTAATAAATTAAAATGAGATCTCAAGTCAAACTCATTTATTAAATTCTAAACGTTTCGACCCACTTCGGGTCTTCTTCAGTAGCTGCAAAATACAAAGAAACAAAATAGAAGATAATCGGTACAATCAGAAAATTATAAAACTCATATACATACAATCCGCAAATAAATTAAATATCATTCTCCTCCCTATTCAAACCGTCCGGCCGTCGGAGTGTCTCCCTAACGGTGACCATCGTCAGGAAGGAAGCGGAGCAGTGACTCCCTTACCAACACTAATCAACATGGTATAAATTAAACGTAGAACAATTCACAAGAATTAAAAATTAAGAACCGGGAAGAACACTCACCCCGACAGCAAAAACAGAGAGAAGACGATGCTACACGTGACACATCACTCTAACGACTGTGCGGTATTCTACCTCGACACAGTCGATACATATATACGCAAAAAACAAATATAAAATAAAATATGAAAATAAAAATAAAAATAAAACAACTAAACTAATCGGCACTCATGTCAAAAGTCTAACAAAAAACCCGGCTATGTAAAATCAACAAAGCTAGATTTTGGTAAATTTTTCTATTAACAGATCAAGATTCTCGTTTAATTTATCAGTGTCACTATGTAAATTTAAACTATTCCTCTGACGTTTTATGTGGATCATTTCGGATATCAAACGTTTACCTAAAAAAGGCTCCTCGTCTAAGACTTTTACATCCTCCCAATTAAATTCATGGTTCAATAATCTATGTTCCGATATGACTGATAATTGTGACGCGTTTCTTTTTATGTTGTTGCGATGTTCTTTCATCCTAGTTTTCAACAATCTACCCGTCTGCCCTACGTACGACGCATCACAATCCATACAATCAATTTTATAAACTACATTATTATGGAGCTCTCTTGGTAACTTATCCTTGTGTACTTTAATGAATTACGGAGACTGTTAATTGCTGTATATGATGGAATGACATCCAAATCACGTGTAATGTCCTCGATTCTCTTCGATACATTATTAATATACGGAATATTAAAGTACGAAACTTTTTTCTGCGTTAGAATCTTGTCATTGCATACATTTGCTCTATTGTTATGCAACTTATTATTATAGCGGAAGAACAACTTTTTTAACCGCGCTTGTAATGTATGAAATATAAATTGAGAGGATAATTATTAGACAAAAGAATTCCAATCATAGACTCAAAGTTAACTTTATGGAATTTCGGATGAGATAGCCAAAAAACTCTATCTATGAGGCTGATAATGGTGCCTTTTTATGACAGAGAGGATGCTGCGATTCAAAATTTAAATATCTACCTGAATACGTCGGCTTATGAAACAAATCAAACTCAATGCTCCCATTATTTATAATAATGGTGACATCTAAAAAATTCAATCGGTTGTCAACCCCCTCCTCCATGGTGAACTGCAATCTAGGATGGAAAGAATTGAAAGTGTTTTAAAACTATTTTAAGCATGGAGGGTGGGCCGCCAACGCGATATCGTCAACATATCTAAAAGAGATCTCATTTTAATTTATTAATTTTGTGCATGTCATCCGCATAGGCTCCGATTGCCGTCGAGATTTTATTTTTATAAAAATTATATTCAGAATTTAATAAGATAGAACAATATTTATTCTTTTTCTTTTTTAATAATATTTATTAAATTTACCTCCTTTATTTGAAGTCTTCTATAATGAATTGTGTTATTTACTTCAACTAAGTTAGTTTCTAGAATACTGTAAGCGTTCATCATTATTTTCTAAATGTATAATTTTAATACTATTATTAATAACAACGTTCGCGTGTAACATTATCAAAATTATTTTAAACATTAAATAATAATTATTAATATTGCATTATTATCATATTTTGTATACATATTTAAACATGTAAATTTTTACCAGAGCTAAATTTTTGGAATATACGTTATTAATCATAATACTTAATGCTGCAATTATATTAACATTTCTAAAAACAAAATATAAATCAGATATATATATATATATATATATATACATATAATAAACTTTTGTACAAAATATTTATAAAAATATGTCACTTTACTTTGGTTTTATTTTGGTAAAATTATCTAATATATACGACAATATATCTGGATTCTTCGCCTGCTTTGTAATAAAATGTAAGAACCTGTTAACGAGAAATTGATCTTCCTGTTTTGTATAAGTGTCCTGTTTACGACTTAAATATTTTTTGATGAAATCGATATCTTCAATGCAAGCCAAGTATTCTGAAAATTTAATGTCAGTTTTTTTTAATCCTCTATTATACACTGTTTCAAAAGTGGTCTCATTTCTCGTAGTTTTCATCAAACCTCTACAATATGTCCATGTCTTCCACCATGGCAAAGTCTAAAATATAAATAGAATTTAATTTTATTATTAAAGATTGGCGTATCAACTCATTTGAACATTATAGGAGATATCTACATGGAAATTTGATTAAGAAAAGCTAAATATATATAACAATATTTACCTGTGTTTTATAGGATCTTGGAGATGTTGTTCTAATTTATTTTTCGCTTCTTCCATACAATTGATTTCACCGAGAAAACATGCCCATCTTGCAGCTTCTTGTCGTAAACATATTCTAAGTTCGTCTGCATCATTAATTTCTTCATATTTGATTTTTGCAAGTAAGTCGTTTAATATAATTTTTAGCCTAAATATACCCTAAAAATCATTAAATATATATTTCTTTAATATGTTTATAATTATAATTCATCGACAAAGATTTTAAGCATCCAGCTATGTATCCAATAACAATGTTATATATTAATATTATTGACAGTAGTAAAAATCATACATTTTGAAAACTGTTCATCGCGTGAGTGATTATTCAAACTGAATTAGTTTGCACATTTATGTGAGACGTAATAATATGTAAAACTTTATCGCTAGATATATTTCTCTATAAATATTTAAATTATTTGTGATCAATCAGTGTATATATAAATATTTAAATGTAATACTTTCATTGAAATTGATTAATATTTACCGCAAATTTTTCAGTTTTTTCTTCCACTGGAAAATACTAAACATGTATTCCAGAGCTTTAAACAAGGATACCATGCGATATAATCTTCTTCTCGATACAAATACGATATAATATTCCAGAATATAGAGACTTTGTGTTGGCCTGCTATCATTAAATGAAATGCATCATCGATAATTTGGGCACGATTAAGAACATGAATTGTCGTAAAATCATCATAGTATAGATAATCTGAAATTCTTCGCCAATTCTCATCATCATAGTTAACGCGGTAATATCCTGTCAAATAATAAATAAATTTTAACAATTTTATTATTTTGAATAATTTTTGTTATTAATAAATATTTAACTTCAAACATTTTGTTTAATAGTTTGTTTATATAATTATAAATTAAAAACGTATCAAAAATTCAATAACATGCAAATACATATTGAAAATTAATTATAAATTATAAATGAAATTGTGCGAGATATTGTTGTATAGCATAAAATAAAATTGATTCTAGTTGTGCATATATAATAATTATTTTATACTAATCAGTAAAATTTCTGTATATAACATAAAACTGTACAAAATTTTATTTCATTTGTATATTTATATAAGTATACTAATTTTATAAATATAATTAACATTTTAATCATTTTTACTATGATTAGAATAAAATATTTGTAAAATATGACTTTAATATTGATTGATATTATGTTGAAAACACCGATATATACATTTTATTAATTATATAAAATAATACAGCAGAACATTACACAAAACGTTTAAAACTATAGTAGTTATATAATGAATATCTCAGATTTATATCTTATAATGTATAAAACAGAAAAATATAAAATAATGTTAATTGTGTACGTGTGTAAATAAAGACGAGTAATAAGTCATAATAAGTCCATTGGTCGATATTTACTATTTGTTGTACATTTACTATAATCCAACCACGCTCTTTATGTGTGACTATAAGAACTATATATTTGATTTGCATAAAAGGCGGTGCATCAAACTGTCAAAATCGGGAACCGACTGGATAGTATAAGTTACAGGAACGCAATTAATTTTTAATATGTCGGAATTTTGTATCGATATATTATAATGGCTCCGAGAATTAGTATAATTTTGTACTACTTTAATGAGAGGACAATGTTCTTCCAAAGTCCAATATTTCATTGTTGTAATGATATATCAATATCTACATTTTTTGCATCAGCAACAACTTCTTCCAAAAAAGTCATAAACTTTGACGATGAAATTGGCTAAATCCACAATGTATGTAAATTATGCAAAAAACACATTATAAATATGTTAAAATTGTATGTATAATTTTAATATTATGAGAAATTTTAATAAATACTAAGAAGCAGAATATAATTGCATTTCTATTTGATTATGATAATAACATTATATTAAATAAAATTTAATAATTTTATTTAATTTGTTAGGCATTAATAATACAGATTATATTTGATCAAAGAGATTGAGAGAGTTATAAAATAATTAATAAAAGAAATAACTAAACAAATCAAATGAAAATAAAACAAAACAAGAAATAATAAAATATAATAAAAGAGATTGTTCTACGAAGAAATAAAATAAAAATAAAGAAAGTAACAAAAAAAGATATACGTGTCAGATATATTTAAAATAACATTAAAAACAAATGTAGCACAAAATTCAATTAAAAAAAAACAGATATTATAAGACTTATAGACGATATGAAGAAAAGGAATTAATAAAAAATAGAATTAATTTAAAATGATTTGGAAAATAATAAATTAGAAACAATAATAAACAACGTTGAATTATGTATTTATAAAAAAGTAAAAAAACAACATTTGTTTCAACAAAGCGGTTTTTGATAGTAAAAGTAACGAAAGTGAAGGTAAATCTAGTAGCAGATGTAGGAAAAAAGCGGAATTGTAAAACTAAAAAAAGCAATATGAAATAATGTCAGCAAAAGCGAAATAATAAGGGACAATATATAATTTGTATATAATATAAATTATTTAAGATTTAAAATGATTTATTTTCTTATATTATATACTCACGTGCTATTTGTATTGAGCCAACTCCTTT